AAAATTTCAATTCTGTTGAAATTAGTTCCAAATTAACAAAATTTTAACGCAATTTTTTGAAAGAATTCAACTATCTTAATAAATATTAAAATTCTTTACAGAAATTAAATTATATTCAAAAATTAAAAAAACATTCTTGTCAACATTTCAATTATCTTTATAAATATCAAAATTCTTCGCCAAAATTCAATTACATTTAATGAGAATTTTTACAACAAATGGACATTCAAAAATTCAACTAATTTAAACAAAATTACAATTTTTTGAAAAACTACATTTTTTAAAAAATTTTAATAGAAATAATTGAAAATTGATTGTTTTAAAAATTTCAATTTGAAACCTTTTGAAATTGTATTATTTCTATTAAATTCTACTATAACAAATAAACAGTTTCACAATTTATTTTTTCTGTGGCTATGTTTTACAAAAGTCCTTCGAAATTGAGTTTAGTAAAAGTTAATTATATTTATATATAATTATATTATAATTAAACCACTATTTTAATTAAATGCAGTAAAATTTATCGCCTTTAAAAATGAGTACAGTAAATTTTATAACATCTATAAAATTTGGTTTGGGGAAAATACCCATTTAGTTTTGTAAAATACAGCATCAGTAAATTTTATATCATTATGTCCCTAAAATTCTAAATGTTCAAATTAACGAAATTTATTTATTTTCTCTTTAAATTACAATTTTATTAAAATAATATTTTGTCATGTATTAAAAATTAATTTTTTAGTTTCAAAATGTTTTATTCACATTTTTTATTTTTATTTTTACTATTTACAGATAAGAAAAATTCAAACTTATAATCAAATAAATAAAGTGAAACTGTCTTAACTGCGAATTTCTGTGATTGGAACTTTTACTAAACTTTCAGAGTAAATTTTCCTTCATTTTAAGTAAATTTTGATATAAAAATTTTTGCTAAAATAACAATTTAATTATGAAACTAGAACTTATAATAAAGTAACGACTTTTTAAATTTTTTTCCTTGTACCTAGTTAAATTTTCATTTTTGAATAAAATTACCAAGGAGGAAAATAAGTTCGAAATTCCAAAAACTGCTAATACAATTAATAGACTACTTTATATACGCACTCGACGATAAAACACCGCTTCTTATTTTCCTGACTTCCTTTTACGACCCAAAGGAATGTTGAATTGAAGAAAATAAGAAAATCTTCAAGATCTACAACACTGAACCAAATGTAATATGCTCATGAATGAAGATTACATGAATTTTTAACAGATATAATCGAAAAATACATATATTTTATTTTGAGTAGGAAAAAAAAATGCTAGTCATCATCATCATCATCTTTGAAAAACCGTTATTTTTATGTAGATAAGTTCAAGTTTATTTTTGGAAGTAATGTCTTGTTCATTTATTGATAACAATTTCCGTCGTTTAACAAAGAAACACACACACGTTACTTCATAAAGGGAAGGGACAACAATGGCTCTGTATATAGTATTAGTTTAATATTCATTCTACGTCTCATCTATACAGGAATTTGTGTTTTCACAGGGCTTGGCTCGTATATTTAGTGCATCGAATGTTGTATATGATTGTATTCTCTGTGTGTCAGAAGCATATTAACGCGCGCGCATTTCACTCTCTTCTGCTTCTACATCTCTTCACTTTAAATTTAAATCAAGAAAATATGTTAATTTCTCGCCATATCTAAACACAATTTAGGGAAATTCTATTTACACCTTCAATGAGATGATTTCATTTAAATATAATCACTTGAGTTAAAATGAATTTCAATTTTCATAATAGCATCGGCCCTGAGGCTAAAGAAAATTTTACATTACAGGTCACGAAGTCCCTTTCAGAATTTTTAGATAATTACATGTGGTGCATTCTATTTCTAACCGTTCCACCTACAAAAGACGATCGCAGGAAAAATACTTTTCACAATTTCAATTATTTAAAAAATTTTCCCTCAATTCAATAATTTTTAATATCTACTATTTTTATAATATTTAAAAAAAATAGTTTAAAAAATAGATTAACTAATTCAAAAATTAGAAAATAATTCCGATAATTTCAGTTACTGTTTATTTATACTTTCTATTGGGGTAATTTCCTGGTTTAAAAAAAAAATCTCTCCATTTGGAGCGCATTTTCTTATCAGATTCTGGCAGTGTACTGGGGAATTAAGGTCAACATTACGTTCATGATAATGTGATAAAAGAGATAATAATGCTGCGTCAGGAATAATAGCAATTCAGTCTTATTATGCACCGGTAAGAAAGGTGGAGTCGAAAAAAAATTCAAATTTTCGATGCACTTATTTTATTATTCAATGAGCGCGCGGTTTCTCTCTTGTTCCTTTGTTTGACATTCAATATGAAGACATTGGTTGACATCAAATACGTACCGAAAATTCAAAGGAGTACGTGATCTTTATATTGTATATTTAAGTTTCAAACGTTATATTAATTTGTTCTTAATTTCTTCATTGAATTCATTCAGCATATTCTTTTATTTACAGTTAATCCATTTCTTTTTATTAACATAATATTCAGTTCAGTGTTTATTGTTTATTTCAATAGTTGCTCTGCTCTTATCAGATGCTCTTGAAAATAATCGTGACTTTCATTTTATCTGCGTCTGTCTGTATATTAAAATATCGATGATAAAATTATCGATTTATCGGTTTCGGGAATTTTTAGGAATGCAGGCTTTGTACTTATCTAGTAAAACCTGTTCTATTTTCTATATTTGCTACTATTTGGATACTTTTTTTAGAACTGTCACTAAAGACTGCATCTTTCATTTTTTTTTATAATTTTAATAACAAATATATTCAGTTTCATTAAAAACTAAATTTAGTTGAAGTATCTGATTTGATTATTTAGGTTACATTTTTCAAAACTATGCAGGTGAATATTAAGAACAGAAGAAAAATTCGAACATTCCAGAAAAAGACTTCGGATATGAAAATTAAATTTTTTTAAACATTTAAGCATGTTAGGACACAATATTTTTTAGTAAAATATACAAATACAGGGTTGACACAAAAATTTAATTTTCTCTTTCCCTGACTTTTCCCTAATTTCCAGACAAAATTAATTAATTAATCAATTTCTTAAAGTTTTTTAATAATTAAAGATGATCCATTTGATAAAATCATTATTTTATATTATAAGAATATTGTCACTGTAACTTCTTCAAAATTATTTTTATCATTTCCATTCAATTATTATCTACAATTTAAAAAAAATTCATTTCTAAATTAATTTTTATTAGAAAATTTTGCGAGAATTCAGTTATTTAAAAACAAAAATAAATTATTTATTGAATGTTTCTTAGCACAATTTCTTCTTAGAAATTAATAAAATTTTTGAAAATAATTCATATCTTTCTTGAAATTTTATTATTTTATCGAAAACAAATTAAATTTCTGAAAAGTATTTTTTTTTATGAAAATAATTGAATTATTTCACATAATTTTATTAAAATTTTTAAAAATGATTAAATTGCTTTGAGAAATTTAATTAAAATTGTATTGGAAATAATTCAATTGCTTTGAGAAATTTAATTAAAATTGCATTGAAAATAATTTAATTCTTATAAAGAATTTTATAAAAGTTTTTGAAACAATTGAATTGCTGCGAAGAATTTTGTTATTATTTATAAAAATAATTGAATTTCTGACAAGAAAATGACTAAAATATTTGAAAATAATTAAATTCTAGCGAGTAATTTTATTATTTATAAAGATAATTAAATTCATGTCCAGAAAATTATTAAAACTTTTTAAAATAATTGAATTCTTACAAAGAATTTTTGGAAATAATTGAAATCCTCTGAATGATTTTGTTATTTATGAAGTAATTGATTTTTAGCGGAGAATTTTATTAAAATTTTTGAAAATAATGGAATTCCTAATTAGAATATTATTATATATGAAAATAATTGAATCCCTGTAAAAAATTTTATTTACCTTGAAAATAATTGAATAATTCAATTCTTTGTAAAATATCATTAAAATAGTAGATATTAAAAATCATTGAATTGAGGAAAATATTTTTAAATAATTAAAATTTTTAAACTTTTGAAAATAATTGAAATCCTGCAAAGGATTTTGTTATTTATGAAAATAATTGATTTTTATCGAAGAATTTTATAAAAATTGTTGAAAGTAATTGAATCCCTGTAAAAAATGTTATTACTTTTGAAAATAATTGAATTCTTTGACGAATTTTAATAATATTTTTAAGAATCATTACATTTTTCGAGAAATTGAATTAAATTTGTATTAAAAATAATTTAAATTCTGCAATGTTATTTATTATTTATAAAAATAATTGAATCCATTTTGAAATTTTATTATTTATGAAAATAATTAAATTACTACGAAGAAATTTATAAATAATTAAATTCCTGTGAAATTTTTATTATTTATGAAAATAATTGAATGTTCACGTAGAATTTTCTCAACATTTTTTTTAAATAATTGAAATTTTGCCAAGAATTTTATTGAAATTTTTTGTAAATAATAAAATTCAATTCTTTCGAGAAATTGTATTATTTTATGGAAAATATTTGAATTCCTGCGAAGAATTTTATTTTTTATAAGGATAATTGAATTATTTGATAGAATTTAATTATTCATGAACATAATTCAATTATTATAATGAATTTTATCAAAATTTTTGGAAATAATAGAATTCCTGTGTGAAATTTTGTTATTTATGAAAATAATTGTTTTTTGCGAAGAATTTTATTAGAATTTTTTTTTAATAATTTAAATTTTGTCAAAAATTTTACTGAAATTTTTTTGAAAATAATTGAATTTCTGTGAAGAATTTTATTATTTATAAAAATAATTGAAATTTTTACTATAATTTGAACAAAATTTGGAACGTAATTGAATAAAACTTAATATTTCACTGAGGAAAATCATTAGTTGTTTAAATAATTAAAATTTTCAAATTTGAGACAAATTTTCATGCGAGGATTGTATTTTTTGTTGTTACAGAAGCCGAAGAATGTGTCGAAGAACAAGTGGAGGATTTGAAAAATGCTCAGGAAACGTCAAGACATTTAGAAGATGGAAGCTTACAGCCAACTATAGATCAAGCCCAACAAACAACTCCAGGTACTGCAAATTTATTTTCTTAATTCTATATTTAGAATTTTTTTCGTTACTATCTTTCTTGTTTGCAATTTTCAAATTTCACAAAAAAGACACAACCCTTATTAGAATCTTTTGTCACTATATTTCTTGTTTTCTTCTCCATTTGCAATAATTTTTTCTTTCTCAAGAAGAGTAACGTTTTTTCGAAAAGAATTTTTTTAAAGTTTTTTTCAAAAATTCTGCACGTCCTCCTTATGGCTATTTTCCTTTTGAGTTGTCCCTTAAAATTTTTAAATCTCTTGATTTATTTTCAAACGACAGTGGCGAGAAAGGCGATGAAAATAAAAGGAAAAATTCGTTTTACTTTAATCGACTTTCTCAAGTTTTTATTGAATAATAAAACCCGAAAGCTTATGTCTCATATAATATGTAGAATGATAATGTATATAAAACATATTTGAAATTTTCCACACGACTCCCTGGAAGTCGTCCAAATATTTTTGATGCCTAATTATGAATTGTCAGAAGATTGGCATGAATATATGTTCCCGAAAAAGCAGGTGAAACACAGGTCGTTATCGAAAAGTTGACTGTATAATGAGCATTTTGCTAGAAGTTTCAAACAACTGTCGGCCTAGTTTGTCAAGGACAAAATAATGAACTGCATTCAATATGATGCTTTTATTAATAGTAGCTACAAAACCCAAGAGTAAAATGAGCTTGTTCTTTATTCTTATCTTTTCCATTGTATTGCAGAAAACTATCTTCGATTTTTTTTCCAAACTATCGGCAAAATATTCAACAAGTACTTCCATAACATTCTTTTGTTTTTTGTTGTTATGATATTTTCCAAGGAGTTGAAAATTAATTTTTTTTTGTTACAATAGACAAACGGATTGTAAAATTCAGTTTTATTATTTGTATTCCGTTCGTTACACTTTTTAAAGATCATATGATGATCTTTTCTTTTTGAAGGGATCAAACCAGTGAAAGTATTTAAAAATACGGACTTAATGGACCAAAAATAAAAAATTATGGATCAATTATTGACAAAAATATAATCAGTCCGAGTTAAATAAGAGAACATTTAACTTAAAACTATAAATTAAATTTTTCATAACTATAAAACATGAAGATATCGATAACTCCGAGTCTTCGACTCGGAGTGATCGATCTCTTCATGTTTTATAATAATTAAAGATGACCGAGTGATAAAATCATTATCAATTCAATTATTATTTTCAACAATTTCTAACTAAACTTCTTCTTTAAATCGATTATCTATATATTAATTTTTAATAATTTTCGAAAAAATTCTTTGACAATTTTCAAATTCATTTGTTTACAATAATCAATTTTACGAAATTTCAATTATTAGTAAATTCTTCAATTAAATATATTAGAAAATAAAAACTTCAAATATAATATAAAAAACATTCAATTAAACTTTCTCAAAAAAATTAATTTCAAAATTCAATTATTTCTAAAAATTCACGCTATATTGCTTTTACTACTCCATTATTATCTAAAATTTTAACTCAAATTCATTTTTAAATCAATTTTTATTAGAAAATTCTACTAGAATTCAATTTTTTAAATACAAATAAAATGCAAATAAATAATTTATTGAATAATTGAATGTTTCTTAAAATTCAATTTCCATAAGGAAATTTAACAACTAATTTTTAAATAATGGAATTCTTTCGACGAATTTTAATAAAATTTTTAAAAAATAATGACATTTTTCAAAAACCCTATTAAAATTGAATTAAAAATAATTGAAATTCTGCGATGAGTTTTATTATTTGTGAAAATAATTCAATTCCTAAGAAGAATTTTATTATTTTTTGTACAATATTTAATTTTTGCGAAGAATATTATTATTCTTGAAAATAATTGAATTTCTGCAATAATTTGGAAGTTTTTCAAAATTAAACTTTTTTTCGTGTTTGTAACTAAAATTCTTTCATAATTGCATTATTTTTAACAATTTTTGAAAAAGTTCTTCCAAAAATTTTCAAAATTGAATTATTTCTGAAAGTTCACGCTCTAATGCTTTTAATATTCAATTACTTATAATCTAAAATTTTAACAGAAATCTATTTTTTAAATTTAATTTTTATTTAAAAACTCTACGAGAATTCAGTTATTTAAATACAAAAATAAATAATTTATTGAATGTTTTTTAGCAGAATTTCTTCATAAAAAATAATAAAATTTTAGAAAATAATTCAATTCTTTCGTGAAATTCTATTATTTTATCAAAAACAAATTGAATTCCTGCAAAGTATTTTATTTTTCTATGAAAATAATTGAATTATTTTAAAGACTTTAATAATTTACGAAAATAATTGAATTCTTATACAGAATTTTATCAAAAATTTGGAAAATAATTGAATTTTATCGAAGAATTTTATTAAAATTTCTGAAAATAATTGAATTTTTTAAAATATTTGAATTTCAGCGAAGAATTTTATTATTTATAAAGATAATTGAAGTCTTTTTTAGAAATTGATGAAAATGAAATGAAATGAAATGGAAATAATTGAATTCCTGTGAAATATTTTATTTTTTTATGAAAGTAATTAAATTAATTTAAAGAATTGAATTATTTACGAAAATAATTCAATTCTTATATAGAATTTTATTATTTATTAAAATAATTGAATGAGTTTTATATGTACAAAAATAATTGAATTCTCGTAGAAAATTTTATTATTTATGAAAATAATTGAATTCTTTTGGAAAATTTTATTAAAATAGTAGATATTAAAAATAATTGAATTAAAGAAAATTTTTGAAAATAATTGAAATTTTGTATAAAGAATTTTATTAAGATTTTTGGAAATAATTGAAATCCTGTGAAGAATATTGTTATTTATGAAAATAATTGATTTTTAGCGACGAATTTTATTAAAATTTTTGAAAATAATTGAATTCCTAAAAAGAATTTTATTATTTATGAAAATAATTGATTTTTAGCAAAGAATTTTATTAAAATTTTTGAAAATAATTGAATTTCTGCAATCCTTTTAAATTTGAATTATTACAATTTTTAAAAACAAAGCAACTCTTTTGACTAATTTTAATAATATTTTTAAGAATCATTATATTTTTCAAGGAATTCAATTAAAATTGTATTAAAATATGAAAAAGAATTGAAATTCTTCAATGAGTTTTTTTGTTTATGAAAATAATTGAATTAATACAAAGAAATTTATAAACAACTTGTAAATAATTAAATTTCTGTAAATTTTTTATTATTTATGAAAATAATTGAATGTTCGCGTAGAATATTATCAACGTTTTTTTTAAATAATTGAAATTTTGTCAAGATTTTTATTGAAATTTTTTAAAATAATTCAATTCTTTCCAGAAATTTGATTATTTTATGGAAAATAATTTAATTCCTGCATAGAATTTTACTTTTTATGAAAATAATTGTATTATTTCAAAGAATTTAATTATTCATGAAAATAATTTATTTCTTATAAAGAATTTTATCAAAATTTTTGGAAATAATTGAATTTCTGCAATCATTTGTAATTTCTTTAAAATTCTCCAAATTATATCGTACAATTTACGAACTTTTCGTCTTTTCTTGAATTTTATTGTTTTTGAATATAAATTTTCCTCTTTTGAATTTTTGTTTTCTATTTGTTTAATCTATTTAAATTTCTATAAAAATTTCTATTTACTTAATATCTATAAATTTTCTTTTCTGTTTTTATTTGAATTTTTATTGTTTTCTGTTTGTTTACACAATTTTCTTTTATTTTTCTACTGCAGAGAACTTATAAGTCTAAAAAAATTGTTTATTTAAATTTAAATGGAAGATAAGGTAATATTTTATATTTCCCTTTGGTGTTTAAATTCAGTTGATTTACACCTGCAAGACACTCTAAAACGTGATATTTAGTTCATCCGGGTCCATTGAGAATATATGTATATATAATGCAAAACCCTTCAAAAGACCCACTTGGGTATTAAAGGAACTTGAACAATTATTGATGATAAAGGCCCACCTGAAAATTTCAAGAACTCTTGAAAATTTTTTCTGAGCTTATTTCAATTTTATTATGTACTAAAAATTTTTTTTCTCCGTATTCTCCAACGTTTTATTCATTTTTACATTATTTTTTTTCTGAATTTTTCATCTCTTTCATTTTAGAATGTTTCCTTATAATTCAATCATTTTTCATACATCTTTTATTATTCTGTTCAATTTTCTTGTTGAATCTTTAGATTTTTTTTTCTTTTTGAATTATTAGAATAAAAATATTCATCTTGCTGCTTGGAACTCGAATTTCAGTAATTGAAAACTTTAGTTAGTTTTTTAATTTTCAATTTATATTATTTAAAGTTAATTATAAATCAATAACTTCAAAAAATATGTTCAGGAAATTAATTTTTTACTCAGAAATAAAAAAAATTTGATGATTGTTTTAAAATTCGAAAGTGATTTTGATCCAAAAATTATTAAGGAAATTCTAGGTTCTAAAGTTTTCAAAAATATTTTTGAACACAAAAAACAATTTTTTTGTTGTAATTCTAGAAATTTGATATTTTTTCCAGTACTTTTGGTTTTGATTAATAATTAATTAATTACCTGCCATTCTCCTGACGAATTTCATTTTTCCTGACTTCCCTGACCTGCGGGAATCCTGAAAAACAGAAAAAAATTGTTTCTTTAAATAAATTATTTTTCATATTTTCTGATTTAAATTAAATATTTGAATTAAAAACTTTGAAAAATTTTGAAGTAAAATACATAAAATATAATTTGTCCAATTTTATAAATCGAAGTCTTTTAGCTTAGAATTAGTGTCAATTTTCCGTAAAGACTTTATATTGTATTATTAAAGCGTTATCTGAAAGTAATTTTTCAGAGTAATGTATTTTTAGGGTAGATAGAATCATTTAATATTATATATAAAGAGAGTGGAAATCTTACTTAATCTTTGACATTTTATAGAATTTTCATTTCTATTGGGTAGTTTTTCGCCAATTCGAAAAAGCTTTGTGAAAGACGAATTTTGTCTAATAGAAAAAATAGAAAAATTTAATTATTTCTATTACCTATTTCCTCACGAAGAAAAAGTTTTGTATACTTTACTTTTTGTTTGAAATATTTTCTTACGATGAAAAGCTTGAATTCTGAAAATAACTCTTTTAAGGGAGAGAATTTCGCTAAAGAATTTTGTAACAATCATTAACAATTTAGTTCATTTGTTGAACAATTAAACGAGACGAGAACTCATTTTAGAGACATTTAGTCTAGTAAAGAGGCAAAAGCGGATGCTTTTGAAAGTACAAGGTACAGAAAATACGTCTACCATAAAATGAACAAAAGATTTCTTATAAACTCCTTTTTCCAACAACTCTGAAAGCATTTTCTTTTATGTAATATCTAGAAAAACGTCAATTCTGTTCCTCCACTTTATTTTGTGTGTGCAAAAAAAAAGAAAAAAAATTTTTTTTTATCTTTCAATATATATAATACATGTGAGAAACCATATTGTTAATGAAAATCTTTTGTTATGGTGGTTATGGATAGTATATGGGGGCTCTTTCTCTCTCTCTCTCTCTCTTGATAAATTACGTAATATTCTATATTCTATCAATGGGGGAAGGAATTTTATTTCACTATGAAATCAATATTGATAGTAAAGATGGGTTGAATTGATATTGCGAAGAAAAGGGAATTTCGTGTTTTGGTTACTTATTGAGTGACAGTGATTGACACCAACCTCACTGCATCTTATTTTCATTTTTGACTAAAATCTTTTATATTTGAACCATTTTTAGAGAAATTACAAATGATTGCAGAAATTCAATTATTTTCAAAATTAATAAAATTCTTCGCAGAAATTCAATTATTTTCAAAATTAATAAAATTCTTCGCAGAAATTCAATTATGTTAAAACAGTTTTAAAAAATCTCGTCAAAATTTCAATTATCTTTAGAAATAATTAATACTCTTCTCCGAAATTCAATTATTTTCAAAAATTTCAATAAAATTCTTGACAAAACTTCAATTATTTTAAAAATTCAAGAATAATAATCTTCTTCCTAAAAATTAAATATTATTGAAATATAGTAAAAAATTTTCTTAGTAATTCAATTATTTTCAACAATTTTAATAAAGTTCTTTACTAAAAATAAATTTTTTTCATAAAAATAACAAAATCCTTCACAGAATTTCAATTATTTTCAAAAATTATAATAAAATTCTTCGCTAAAAATCAATTATTTTTATAAATAACAAAATCCTTCACAAGAGTTCAACTATTTTTAAAAATTTTAATAAAATATTAATATATAATTATTCAATTCAATTCAATTCAATTATTTTCAAAAGTAATAAAATATTTTACAGGATGCAATTATTTTCATATATAATAAAATTCTTTTTAGGATTTCAATTATTTTTAAAAATTTTAATTAATTAATTATTTTCATTAATAACAAAATCCTTCACAGGATTTTAATTATGTCCAAAAATTCGTTATAAGAACTTAATTATTTTTAAAAGTTTTAATTATGAATTCAATTATCTTTATAAATAATAAAATTCTTCGCTGAAATTCAATTATTTTTAAAAATTGCAGTCAATTTTTTAACAGGAATGTTATTATTCATTATGGTAATTGAATTCCTGGTAAAAAATTGAATACAATTTTTAAAAGTAATTGAATTTCAGGGAAGAATTATATTATTTATAAAGATAATTGAATTCTTGTGTAGAAATTGATTAAATTTTTTTCTATGAAATTGAATTATTTTCAAAAATTTAAATAAAATTCTTTTTGAAAAATCAATTGTTTTCATAAATACCAAAATCCTTCAAGGAATTCAATTATTTCCAAAAACTTTGATAAAATTCTTTTTAACAATTGAATTATATGTTGATTCAATTATTTTTTTAAATATTAAAACTCATCGTAGAATTTCAATTATTTTTTACACAATTTTAATCGGATTTTTCGAAAAATGTAATTATTCTTCAAAATTTTATTAATATTCGTCGAAAGAATTCAATTATCCCTAGAAAAATGTAATAATTCTTTAAAATTTTAAGAAAATTCGTTAAAAAAATTTAATTATTTTCAAAAATTTCAATTATTTAAAAAAAAATGTTGATAAAATTCTACGCGAACATTGAATTATTTTTATAAACAATAAAAAATTCACAGAAATTTAATTATTTACAAATTGTTTATAAATTTCTCTGTAGTAATAATTATATTAAAATATTTTTAATATTTTAATATAATTTTAATTGAATTCCTCGAAAAATGTAATGATTCTTAAAAATATTATTAAAATTTGTCAAAAGAATTCAATTATTCTGAACAATTTTAATACAATTTTTGTCAAAATTTCAATTATTTAAAAAAATTTTGCGCGAACATTCAATTATTTTCATTAATAATAAAAATTTCACAGTAATTCAATTATTTAAAAATTTTTTCCCAATATTTCCCAATTATCTTCATAAATAATAAAATTTTTAACAGAGATTCAATTATTTTCATAAATAATAAAATTCTTTTTATGAATTCAAATACTACTTTCATAAATAATAAAACTTATCGCAGGATTTCAATTATTTTTAAAAATAATGGATTTTTTCGAAGAAGTTTATTAAAATTTTTGAAAACAATTAAATTTTAACGAGGAATTTTATTATTTATGTTGTTAATTGAATTCCTGGCAAGAAATTGACTAAAATTTTTGAAAATAATTGAATTTCAGCGAAAAATGTTATTCTTTATAAAGGTAATTAAATTCTTGTCTAGAAATTGATTAAAATTATTGAAAATAATTAAATTCTTATGAAGAATTTTATTTAATTCGTAATTTTTTATTTTTGTTACGTAAAGTCCATTTTTGTAAATACTTTCACTTGTTCGAGCCCTGAATTTGTGTCTTGTATATTATTCCAAAGAATTCGGTTGCTTCTTTTAGCATTGTTGTTTATAAAAAGAATAATTGGTATATTTTTGATTTTTGAGTATTCAGTAAATTCGTTTTTGTATTTATTCTGTTACTATACAACAGAATTTGTGTCTTGTTTATTTTTCCAAAGAATTCAGTTGCTTTTTTTAGCAACTTTAAAATGTAAAACGTGTTTTTGTATATAGTGAGCTTGCCCCAAAGGGTAGACACAGAGAGACTTTGAAACGAAATTTTTGAATAATGAATGTTAAAGGCTAAAAACCTTTTGAATTCAAAAAAACGTCTCGTTTAATGTTGAAGTGTCATTGATCCTACTACATCCCCTTTAAAATTCTCGTCGCCGTTGAATCTCCACTCTCGTTATATCTATACATATATATATAAATTTCTACGCTGAATCGTGTTTCATGAGAACACTTCTAACTCGATTTTCTTTTTTTTCTTTCCTCCACAGATCTTCATCAGCGTTATCTCGTCGAAACGATAACGATGACGACGGTGACGGAGCGTCGAATTGTCCGTGAAATCAGCGAGGAGGAAACACAGCCATTGGACGAAATTGATTCCAATAATGAGAAGGATGGTTCAAAACTTGAATTCACCATTTGTCCACCGCCAGACGCTAAGGATATTTTAAGTGATGATGTAAATAATAAATCGCTAGAGACTATGGCAAAAATCGATAAACGTAACTCGAAGGAAATTTCTGAAGCATCCGATCTTTCTCTGAGCTTTAAGTTAAGCACTTCACTCGCAACCAACAGCCTTAAGCCAAATTCCGCTGTACGTCAACTTTTCCCCGACCCAAGATTCATATCTCCACCCCCAGCGCCAACAAAGAACATATCTCTTTCGGACGTTGACGATGAGGATGAGCATTCAGAGGCTCAGAAATTCCTCATCACCACTGAAAGCCTACGTCTTTTCGACGCTGTCAAGAGGACCAAAATTGCCGGCAACCGAAGTGATTCATCTGAAAGTGAATCTTCCAGTATCAAGAGGACAATTGAGAGGAATGCCCTCAGGAGGAGTCTTATTTCCAAATACGAGAGTGGCTCGAAGAAGAAAAATTTACGAAGTAAGGATTTGACGCTCGAGGAGAGAATACGACAGTTGACGTGTGTCGATCAGGACGAGGATACGGGCGACAGTAATTCGTCGGAGAGTGGAAGGACCGTTGAGGGTTGTGATCAGAATAATGAATTGCCAGCGCGAACATCGCCTTCAGGTGAGGAGCGGCCGAAAAATGATCGCGTACCACGTACACTTATTCTGGACCAGGAACTAAATCACACACCGTCTTATCAGAATGCGAATCATCATCATCATCAGCAATCGACTTACAAGAAAATTACAGATCTTTTTGGTCAGAAGAAGACAGTCGAAATGAATCTCCCGGACATTGGGCTTGGCAACAGAATCAGCATGGGCAAGGAATACATTTCAAAGTCGACAATTTCAAAAATGAATTCCGACGCTAGAAAACAATTTCTAGCGAGTCTCGCTCCACTCTCGTGTGTCGCATCGACCGGCGAGGGAAAGGACGACTACTACCGAATTTCGTCGAAAATCACAGGTAGCAATAGAGACTCGGTGGGTTATAATTCGGACTCTTCGTACAGTCTGGAGGATATTGAGGCCGCCCTGAGGGGCGAGGAGAGAAATTACCGAAATGCAGGTCCTCCGGATGTGACGAGGGGAACGCCGACGAGCATTGGACCCGATTCGGGAGACGCGAGCGATGAATTGATGGCTTTTGTGGAGCAGGACAAGACGAGGACTGAGAGGATCAAGAGACGGTATAATGATGTCGATGAACGTCACGAGGGAACCTCGGTCGACGGCGACGTCAAGGAGAATGGAAAGGATAAGAAGGGCTGCGTCGACGATGACGAGGACGACGAACTCAACGATTATGGTTTCAATAGAAGACCTGCGGTCAGGGGAATTAAACCTCAATTCGGAACGACGGAGGAGATCGTTCAGCAATTGAGGACACGAAGCGTTGCTGCCACATCGCATCCGGATCGAACGTCACTGCCGCCACACTGGACGTTCTATGACAATAGCACTGACAACAACGGCGAGAAGCAAGAGTCATTCGTTGATGATGCGTCTTCGGAAACTTACAAGACAGTGTTCAATGGCGAGAATAGTGGAAATCACACGATCAACAGGATAAATAATATGCAGAGGCAGATTGATGATATTTATCAAACAATTGCTGACACTTCGGTAAATGTTTATCAATTTTCCTTAATTTTAAATATTCTCCATTTTATTATAAATAATTGCTACAAAAATTTTATTTTCTTTCTTCCTGATTTTTTTTCAGAGAAAATTTTCATTTTTCCTCAGATCTCAAGTCAGTGAAGTTCACAATCTGAAATCAATGATTGAAAGAAAAAAAAATATTTTTATCAGGAAAATAATAAATTTTTCTACTTAGAGATTTTTATTTTTTAAATTATAGGGTAGAGTGGGGTAAAAAAGCCACATTTTTACTTTTGATGCTGTAAAATCTGTATTTAAAATTTTTTTTCTCAAATTTCCAATTGTTATTGAAAGTTTAGTTATTAAGCCTGAAAATTCTTGACGGAAATATTTTTTAACTAATGAAAGGACTAAGTTATAAGAGTTTTACGAAAGCACTGCAAGTGGCTTTTTTGCACCACCTGGTGGGGTGAAAAAGCCACCCTACGATTTTAGCAAAACATGTTATCAATTTAGGTATTTTTATAGTTTCCCTTTATTTATATGACAAATAGTCTTATTTGAAAAATATTCTAATAATTATGAAAGAGTTTTTAGCAAGCAAAATTGAAAATTATATTAAGTTTACCTGTTTTCCATTTGCACTGCCAATTTTTCGTACCTTTTTTAGAAGTTCTCTTTAAGTTTCACCGCAGATAACATATTTCGTTGCAACCGTTTATTCATTGTTTATTTTTTAAATGCACTTTGAACTACTTTTTCGTCGTGTTTAATTTATTTTATTAAATAGACACGAGAAATTTTGTAAAATAAGAAGGTTAGTTTAAATAGAAAACAAGTGAATTTCACAAAATATTCAATGGATTTTTTGCCCTGGCTTTTTTACACCCAAGACCAGTTATTAAAAAAAGCAAAAATAAATTGTTAATTCAGTTCAATTTCCAAAAATTAACATTGTATACGTTTTCGGTATACTTTTCTCCTTATGTACAAACATTTACTTTTACTATTCGTTCACTTAATCAGATTGTAATATGTTTGAAAAGTTCACCAAAATGTTTTCAAAAAAGCAACAAAAAATTAAAATTACAAGAAAAACAATATTAATCTAGGTACAACATTCAAATTAGATTCAAAAGTTGCGTATTACCTAATAGTATTTATATTCTAAACAGCTGATAAATCGGCTTAATAGTTTTTAAATAAAACTCAAATGGCTTTTTTACACCATGGCTTTTTTACCCCACTCTACCCTATTGATCAAGAAAATAAATAAAACATTTTAAAACAAAAATGTATTTTCTTCTAAAATGGTTAAATCATCTTTCAAAAAAACAGAACAGAATTTTTTTTAAAAACGAATTTCAATTATCTTTAGAAATAATTAAATTCTTCTCCAAAATTCAATTATTTACAAAAATTAAAATAAAATTTTTGGCAAAATATTAATTATTTAAAAAAAAAGAATTATAAATTCTACGTGAACATTCAATTATTTTCATAAATAATAAAAAATTTCAGAGGAATTCAATTATTTACACATTTTTAATAAATTTCTTCGCGTCATTCAATTATTTTCATAAATAATCAAATTTTTACAGGGATTCAATTATTTTCGTAAATAATAAAATTCTTTTTAGAAATTCAATTATTTCCGTAAATAATAAAACTCTTTGCAGAATTTCAATTATTTTTAATACAATTTCAATTATTCTTAAAAATTTTATTGAAATTCGTCAAAAGAATTAAATTATTTAAAAATTGATAAAATTCTTTATGAATGAATTCTCGTAGAATTTTCTAATAAAAATTGATTTAAAAATGGATTTCAGTTAAAATTTTATATTATAATTGAATATTAAAAGCATTAGAGCGTGAATATTAAGAAATAATTCTATTATTTAAGAATTTGTGGATAAAATTCTTTATCAGAATTTAATTTTAAGAAACATTCAATTATTCAATAAATTATTTGTTTTCATTTTATTTTTATTTAAATAATTGATTTCAATTATCTTTATAAATAATAACATTCTTCGCTGAAATTCAATTATTTTAAGAAATTTTAATCTATTTCTTGGTAAAAAAAATCAATTATCATCATAAGTAATAAAATTGCTCGCTGTAATTCAATTTTTTTTTAAATTTTAATAAAATTCTGTGAAATAATTCAATTATTTTCAAATTTTTTGATAAAATTCTGTATAACAATGAAATCATTTTCATAAATTATTAAATTCTTTAAAATAATTCAATTATTTTCATAAAAAGTACTAGTTTCAAATTTAATGTTATTTAAAAGTTTTTGAGGTGAAAAAAAATCCATGAAGAAATTCAAGGTTTATATGTTTTTCGAAAATGTTTTCGGACACTAAAAAGCAGAATTTTCGTTATAATTTTAGAACTTTGATATTTTTACATTACTTTTAAATTTTAATGAAATTCCTTGGTTCTTCTTATTTGCGGCAACCCTGTTAAAGATTTTGAATGTCTTCCTAAAATTTTCAACGTTCAATCGAATGGAAACTTTTTTTTTAAATTTACTATGCTAAAATGAAAAATAATTAAAATTATTAGCATCTACTTACCTAGTTAAAAATTAATTTTCTTAATGTAAACAAAATAATTTTTTATAAAAAAAATACAGATTAATGAAAAGAAAAGAAATGAAAAGAAATGAATATAATATCGTCGTTCATTTTTACGTTAATGAGGCTATAATTAAATTTTTAAATGAGGCTGAAGTCCGCAACGTTTTTAAAAACGAAAAATCAAAGAGAATTTTTTTTCAACTTAAAATCATCTATAATTTTCAGGTTCTTAAGCTTTTAAGAAATTATTAAGTAATTCGTTCGTAAGTTTTTAAGAAATTATTAAGAAACAATTTCTTAAAAACTTACAACGAACCTGAAAATTATAGATGATTTGAGGTTGAAAAAAAATTCTATTTGTTTTTTCGTTTTTAAAAACGTTGTGGACTTCAGCCTCATTTAAAAATTTCGGGACCATTTTTTAATTAGATTCTAGATTTTAGATCAGATTACAAATTCAATATTTGATTTATGGAAATTAAATTTATTGTTTTCTTTTAGGTAAACGTTCAAGCTTTGGAACGCTCGTACGTCGATGGCAATACTCTGCCGAGAACAATGGTTCACGTCGCAGTGGGCGACAATCATCGTTACGTGGATCAGAAAAATGGAGTTCACTTCCAGGATCAAATGTCAGGTCACAGAATGGTTCGAGTTGCCGGAGCCGATGTAGTTCCAAACTCCGGCTACAATAGTCTTCCCAGTAAGTCGCGACGCCATCCAGTAGGTTTCACTAATTACTCATGTAGTGCTGCCGTGCCAACTTCCAATCCCAAGTGTTACCGAACCATGTACCTCGTCCCCTACAATGGAATAACGGATCCAGCTTATCAAAATCTTCAAAGGATTCTCCCGGCGCACTCGACGCCCACCAACTACGCGAATCACATCGACCGCTATCCCTATCCAAGGAATCGCATCGATCAACAGCAGCAGCAGCAGCTGCAACAGCAGCCACGCTATTACGTCCGGCCTAATAATCCCCCAACTTCGAATCTCTCAGGTCTTCACTCTCAGCCCCAGTTGCATCTTCATTTACACCAGTCGGACGAAATTCACGTCGCGAGTCCGCCAGTCGCTCTCAATCACACAGTGCAAACGATACACCATCAGCACCATCAAGTCGCTTCCTACAGCGGTCAACCGGTGCCATCCTACACTGTCATCGCTCCACCTCGACCCACTGCTCCCTATTCCCATCAAGTTCATTTGTCCCGAAGTGCAAGTGACGTACAAACCCAAACAGTCTCCGTACCAACCGCTGTCGGCGTCATCGGCGGCGGCGGTGGCGGCTCAACCCTCACCACATTCACTGGAAGCACTCAAATACTCGGCACCATGACATCATCAACAATTCTAGCCTCGCCCACTAAACTCCAACAACATCAAAGGAATAATCCTTGCACTGTCGCTGAACGCGGAGTCCCCGAGGGGGCCGCCAGTGCACCAGCTCAGGATTTCAATCAAACGAGTTCCACTAATTCGAGCCATGCAGTTACGAACTCGTTTATAGGTCATCCCAATAACGTGCCTCCACCCAACACACAGAACTCTGTATACTACGCGATGAACGTGTAAACGGATTACTTGGAGGGATTCACCTTATACGGCTAATTAAGTCGAGGAATTAGAGTTTCGCTTTATCAGGCGGAGTGGCGGAGAAACAAAAAAAAAAAAAAAAGAAACTCGCGGCAAGGATTGTAAAAGTTAGAAATAGTAAAACGAAACATGGAAATGTGGTTACATCGTTAATTTTGGATGGAACCCACAAGTTGTAGTCTGCAATTGCTTGCTGTGGCCGCGCCAATAAGCAAATGGGGTCATGTACAAGTTACATGTGCGTGCTCTTCGTTTGCACTGTTTCCCACGAGTATTCGAGTTTACCACTAAGTAAAGTGGATTATTAGTTGTGGCCGCGTTTGGCTTATTTTTTTTTTTCTTTTATACGTACATAGTTGCACCCAAAGTGGGCTTTTTTTTAAGAAAGAAAAATTGTGTGACTCAGCTGCAAAACGCTCAGGACTTGCAAAAAGTGTACCAAAGGTATTTTTCTCTTCTGGCTTTTATAGATTTTCTATTATCTGGCTATTTTTTTTTTAATAACGCCCTGTCCGTTATCATTTGATGGCGATTTCTTTTTAAACTTCTTGATCTTGTCGCTGGTTTGATTATTAATTCAGGGTGACTATTAATATTTTTCTTAAAATATTTTCCCCTGATCTTTTTTCCCTGATATTTTTCCAGGAAAAAATAAGTGAAAGTAAAATTGGTAAAGGGAATCAGGGAAAAGACATGGAATTTTATCAAAATAACTGGAAAAATATTTAATTTTTAGAATTCGGATTTTGCGTTTCCAGCAGCCTTTGAAAATATTAATGAGATTTATTTCTTCTGGAACATTTTTTGTTTACCTTATTAAATTCAAAATTATCACGAATTTTAATAAAAAAAAATTAAATTTTTTCTATTGCTGACAATTATTTATTTTAAATAATTTAATTCTTGAAGACCTAACATAACATTTTTTTATTTTTAAATATCAACTATAATTTTTGAATAATTTCAGCTTCAAAATTCTTGGAAAGAATTCAATTATCTTTATAAATAATAAAATTTTTCGCTGAAATTAAATTATTTTCAAAAATTTTAGTCAATTTCTTGGTGAAGAAAATCTATTATTTTCATAAATAACAAAATACTTCAAAAGAATTCAATTATTCACAAAAATTTTAATAGAATTCTATATAAAAATTCAATATACGAAATCAATTATTTTCAAAAATTTTAATTTTAATTTTAATTTTTGTCAAGAATTCAATTATCCTTATAAATAATAAAATTCTCCGATAAAATTCAATTATTTTCAAAAAATTTAATAAAATTTCTGTAAAAAATCAATTATTTTCATAAACAACAAAATCTTTCTCAGAAGTTCAATTATTTCCAAAAATTTTGATAAAATTCTATGTATAAAAAATCAATTATTTTCAAAAAATTTAATCAAATTCTTGTTAAGAATTCAATTATCTTTATAAATAATGAAATTCTCCGATGAAATTCAATTATTTTCAAAAATTTTAATCATTTCCTTAACAAAATTCAATTATTTTTATAAAGAATAAAATCCTTCACAGGAATCCAATTATTTCCAAACATTTTAATTCATTTCTAGAAATGAATTCAATTATCTTTATAAACAATAAAATTCTTAGCTAAAATTCTTTTATTTTTGAAAATTTTAACGTATTTCTTGGCAATAATTCCATTATCTTTATAAAATAATAAAATTCTTCTCTGAAATTCAAAAATTTTAATAAAATTCTTCGCAAAAAATCAATTATTTTGATAAATAATAAAATAAATAATAAAGCCCTTCACAGGAATTCATTTCTGTCTAAAAATTTTGATAAAATAAAATATAAAATTATAATTTTTATAAGAATTGAATTATTTTCAACACAATTTTAATTAAATTCTGTGAAAAAATTCAATTATTTCCAAAATTTTTAATAAATATCTGTTAAGAATTCAGTTATTTTCAAAATTTTTGATAAAATTTTTTATAAGAATTCATTTATTTTCATAAATAACTAAATTCTTTAAAATAATTCAATTATTATCGATAAAATAATATAATTTCTCAAAAAAATTAAATTATTTTCAAAAATTTTAATCAATTTCATGACAAGAATTCAATTATTTCTATAAAATTCTTCGCTGAAATTCAATTATTTAAAAAAAATTTAGTCAATTTTGGAACATGAATTCAATTATCTTTATAAATAAAAATTTTCTTCGCTGAAATTCAATTATTTCTAAAAACTTTGATGAAATTCTTGATAAGAATTGAATTATTTTCAATACAATTTTAATTAAATTTCTCAAAGCAATTTAATTATTTTTAAAAATTTTAATAAAATTCTGTGGAATAATTCAATTCTTTTTCAAATTTTTGATAAAATTCTGTATAAAAATTAAATTATGTTCATAAATAATTGAATTATTTTCATTTAAAACAAAATTCTCCCCAGGAATTCAAATATTTTCATTTTAAATAAAATTCTTCCCAGGAATTCAATTATTTGCGATAAAATAATATAATTTCTCGAAAAAATTTAATTATTTTCAAAAATTTTAATTTATTCCCGAAATTTATATGAAATTGTTTATGAGATTTCAATTATTTTTATAAATAATAAAATTTTTAAAAACAATTTAATTATTTTCGAAACAGTAAAAAAAAGTCGTAATTCTTTCTAAAAATACATGACAAAAATCAAAGTTTTGTGGCGACACTACAGGAGAAAAATAGAAAAAAAATTTTTACCACAAACCCTAAATTAATAATCAAATTGTACATTGATTACAGATTTAAAAGAAATCAAGAAAACCGATCCGAATGGTTATTTCTAATAATCCAGTTGTCTTTTAATTACAATTTTCTATTTAAAAATCACAACATGAATGAAGTTCACTTTTATTATCAACAATTGGAAAAAGAAAATATTTTGTAAGCAGAAAACAATATTTAACAATTTTTCTTTTGAAAATTGTTAATTAAGAAAGATGTAAATTCTTTTAGACAAAAATTTTAATGGAAAATTATTTTCTTTTTATAAATTGTTCCTTTTAAACTTTGTGAACTTCACCAATGCAAATAACATGACAATTTAATTCGTTTCATTAGAATTCTAACGAGATATTCTCAAAAATTATAAGTAAGAATATCGTAAAATTAATTTATATTATTACTCTTACAATTGGAATTAATTATTGGAATTAATTAAAATTCAAAACGTGAAGAAACTGTTAAGTAATAAAAAATTGAATTAAAGTCTAAAGTCCGCAACTTTTCTATGAAAAAATTAAAAAAAGAATAATTTTTTCTAATTAAATCATTTCCAATTTTGACGTTAATAATGATTTGAGAAATTAATTTTTTTAGCGAATAATGACACGAAAATAATTTGAAATTGAAAATTAATTTGAAGCTAAATTAATGTATTTTGTCTCATTTTTTCATTTTCGTTTTTCAAACGTTGTATGAACTTCGACTTTATTGAATTGGACAAATGTATTAAAATAATTCATTCGGAAATCGATTTTAAATAGAATCGAAAATACTCGAGTATTTTTGAGCAGGAAACAAATTTTCTGGAAAAGAAAATTTCTAGTAGGTCTGAATATTATGAATTTTTTTTTTTATTTGAAATTTACACTCTGATGATTACATTTAATGAAATTCTTTTATCAGTCTTGATTTTTTGTTCATCAGACGGTGGAGTAAAGCATCTTTTGTTTGTATTTAGTCAAAGGGGTGAATTTTTTATTAAAGAAAATTCTTAATAATTAAACGGTATACTACCAGGTTTCGCAAATTTTCTCTCTAATTACCGCTTTAAATATATGTACTGTATGGATACTTGAAACTCCCCTCTCTCTTTATATACATATACGTACATATTGAATGTTACCTCGTTATAATTGGAGAGAGAGAGAGATGAAATTAATTCAAGACGTGCTGAAAATGCAATCTAAATTTAAAATTTAAATATTGCTTTTAGTCAGATATTGTATTGATTTTCGGGTTTTATGTGTCGCGTTATTATTCTACAACCAAAGTCAGCATTCGATCTCTCCAGAGATTCAACTTTCTATTAAGAAGACAGCCAAGTCAACTGCATAAATATTTATTTTTTCTGCGACAAAACTCTAGAAACAAAAAAAAAGAAAAATTGAAATCACTGATTGCAAAGTTCTCACGTTTTCTCCATTTTTTGAGTCTTGGGAAATTTATTTCGCAACTCGAGAAAAATAATAAATGAAAATTTGACTGAAATAAATATATATAATTATTAGCAGTATTTGAATATTTGCAATTCATAAAAAAAATAATTCAACTTATTACAAATAATTGTAATTGCAATATTTAATTAATGGAAAATTTTATAAATATGTGAAAGAAATTTTTGCAGAGAGAAAAAAAGGGCCAGATTGAAGTCTAGAAGTAAAAAAAAAATTTAGACGCTGTAGTTTATATATTTGTCCTTACGATTCGTTTCTATTCTTTTTTCCCAGGAATATCGATTTTTTATATATCTGGGATTGAGTCTGAAACGCCAAAGATACGCCAGACAATAGTGCGATAGTATTAAAAATTTTATATGAAAAAATCACTCGAATTCGAGATTTCCACGTGAAATCGTAAATGAGATTATATCCGAAAAAAGGAGAGAGACACGTATATATGTATATCTTTAAATGCCAAAGCGTAGATAATTCTCTAGATGTTCTGCCAAACAAATCTGGTAAATTTTATGCAATGCAAATAATTAATTTGCATCCAGAATCGTTGTAAATATTTTTTTTGTTTATTATTTAAATTATTTGCTCACCTCAAAGTGTGTTTTTATTTCAAGAAAAAAAACACCCAGGTATAATTTTTTTTTTAATAGAGATTTGTTCAAATATTCAAGTTTTGAAAAATTTATTCACCGCATAATTGAAATTGAATTATTAAATTTCATTATGAAACATCATTAGCGATAGTCTTTGCCAAATTTTAATTATTGGAAAAATTTTTCTATTTTTATTAAAATTAAATTAAATTTTTAATCAATTGGAAAAATTGATGATTATGCAAAATTATTTTGTTTTTACTATCTAATAGTAATGTTAATTTTATAATATTGTTGATATTGTTTTAAAAAAAAATTATTACTGAAAAAAAGATAATATTCAGAAATAAATCTTTTGACAGAGACTAACGAAAGTGAATTTCCTCAAATAGGAAAATTTTTGATTTTATAAGTTGAAAATTGAAAGAAAATTATATTGTTGTCTCGATGTGATGAAGAATTTGTAAACCGAATTTAATTGACGAAACTGTCGTATTATAATTTGTTTTTAATATTAAAAAATCGACAGTTGTGCACAAAAAATATATAACTAAGCTTTATATATAGAATATTATTTACATGAATTTATTTAAATGTTTAATATTCTTTATCGACTAAAATACTTTTCTTTTTTTGAAAAAAGAAGAAAAAATCGTCAGATTTGCAATATTTGTAATTAGGACCAAGTCACAATTTCCAATTCGAATGAAAGATAACAATAGAAAAATTATGTAACATTCTAACAACTGAATATTACCGAAAAATAAAAATAGAAATTAATACGAATAAATATAGGAAAAAATAATTAAAGGAAGAAAGAAAAAAGAAAGAATAAAAATAAATGAAGAAAAAAATAAATAAAGAATAAAAATTAAGAAAAAAAAATCATGAATAAAAATAAATAAATAATAAAAAAAGAAAGAAAAAAAAATAAAGGTAAATAAAGAATAAACATAAATAGAGAATAAAAATATTAAAAAGTCATTAAGAGTAAATTTTATTATAATTGTGACTTGATCCTTTTTTTCAGAAAAAAACTAACCATAGATATTATGAATATTAATGAAAAATGAAAATTCTTAAACAGTAAAAATTAATTTAATATACATTT